CTGGAGGAAGAAGCTTCGGCGGCTGGAGGAAGAAGCTTTGGCGGCTGGAGGAAGAAGCTTCGGCGGCTGGAGGAAGAAGCTTCGGCGGCTGGAGGAAAAAGCTTCGGCGGCTGGAGGAAAAAGCTTCGGCGGCTGGAGGAAAAAGCTTCAGCGGCTGGAGGAAGAAGCGACATGTCCTGGAAGCAGGCTGGGGAGCTGCAGGTAAGAGGAGCAGCACGTGCACAGGGATCCTGTGCAGCCCATCATAGATCCTGCACGATCCACCTTAGAGTCTATATGCAGGATATATGGTGGGCTGTGCAAGGTCTCTGGTGGGGTTTGCACAGACTCAGGTGGCCTGTGCAAGGTATATGGTGGGGTGTACATGGTCTTTGGCGGTTTCAGCTTGAGACCCTGCAGAGCCCACCAGAGATCCTTTACAGCCCACCCGAGAACCCGGCTTCCCTGCAGCGCTAATAGCGCAACCTGTCAGAAGCTGTGTCCAGCGACTGACAGGTTACGCAAAATGTCTTGAACAGGAGGGGGTGGGACAAATCTAGATAGGGGGTGCCGAGTTTCGTCTTGCCTAAATACACCGCTGGGTTTAACTGATATCTATTTGGTTTTTGAAGCCCTAACGAAGGGGGGTTTCATTAGGTAGTACAGCCAGGTTCATGATGACAAGCTCAGGTCCACCCCTGCCCTAAGAGCCAATTATTACTACAGTACCAAATGACCAAAAAAGATAGGGATTCCCAACATTGTTAAAGGGATTCTTCTATTTAATTTAGTAGCAGCCAAAATAATAATGTCAAAAAGGTGTTGTTTAAATGAACTGCATTTTCCATTTCAAGCAATCCAAATACAATATGCCTACATTTAAATAACTGGAATATCAGGTTGTCTAAATGACCTACTAAATACCTACTAAACCTTACTGAACCTATTGTGAGGTCATCATGCAAGCCTAGATATGCCCAATGACTCATTTCCATTCCATGCCAATTATAATAGTTTAATAAAATAAGATTAGATCTGGCTGATATAGTACTTACTGTGACAATACAGCCCAAACCATAAATGCCCAGGCGCCAGGACGCAATTTCTAGTCGCAGGGCGACCTGGGATTTGTCGAGCCCTGCAGTAGAAGATTGTGAGGAATTGGGTCTTATTAAGATTACTTCAATTTCCTCAACAAAATGTTTTTGAAAACTGTATAGTAGCACTTTGAATAAGCAAAGTGCACTTAATGTATAAGTTGGTCGTGATCAGCTTATTCACAGTTTGGATATCAGTATCATCTGTATGCAAAACATGTTCAATTCTTTCTACTCCTACTACTCTTTCTACTTCTTTCTACACTTTGCACCTGAATATCTGACTGCTGTTACTTCCTTTGTGTTTTTCTTCTGCTTAAAAAGTAAAATGAAGTTGGCTAATGGGTTTGTCTTTTTGTCCACCTATACCTGCTTCATTGCCTGGCACACCAATCACTGTATTTGGCTTTGATTTATTTTTGTCTTCACTACAGGCGCACCAAAACCAAAAATAATAAAAAGAAATGTCAGGCTGAAAACTTTTTAAATTTTTTTAAAACATTTAATTTTTATTTTTCTAAAAACTTTTATATATTTTTTTTCCCAATAAATATTTTTATAGATTTTACCTTTACGGTCAGGGGCTTCAGTAAAATATCAGAGGTCTAAACAGACCCCTGATATTTCCCTTTTAAAATAGAAAAAGATTGAGGACACAGAGCCCTCAATCTCTTATTCTGCGGTCCCTGTTAAAATGAACAGGAAGCCTCTCTACTGAGTGTCCCTGTTCATTCACAACTTGTGGAGATAGTATGTTCACTATATCTACAAGCATGAGTGAACAGCAAGTGATGTAGATCACTCCCATTCATTCATAATTGGGGACACAGTAAACATGCTATGTCCTCAATTATTTACAAACAGTCAGCGATCACTAATCGTTGACTGCTTGTACCCGCTCTCCATCCGGACACGCTGTCACAGGATGCAGAGCAGGCAGTACGGGCAGGAAAGCTCTGTCTATTTTGACAGCTGACTCCTCCCCCACCCTGCCGCCTCAGTCTCCTGTGACAAGTGTCTCCGCCCGCACACCGCCGCTCTAGATCCTGATTTTTTACAGGCCAAGCAGGGAGGTGCGGGAGGAGAGGCCGGCCTCCTGTGACATGCCGGCCGCTCACAGCGCACTCCTCCCCGCACTCCTCTTACAGTTTCTCTCCTCCCTGCTGGACCCTGCGCTGTGTCAGGGGGGACATAGAGCAGCGCCTGGCGGGGAGTAGAGAAACCAGGCATGCACCGCTATTTCGGAGGAAAGATGGTACTCTCAGCATTTTGCCAAAAGTGCTATTTGCGTCCGATATGTTTCGGTGGCCGAAATTTCGTGCATCCCTAGCTTCCACACTAACTGCCTCCTGTCTTCAGCTAAGGATCATCACTAATATCTGCCCCTTTGAAACACACAATATAACTAACATGAAACTGAAGCCAAAACATTTTTTTTTTTTTAGTTTTGGATAGAATGAAGAAGAGGGATTTAAACCCCATGTCAGGTTTTCATTGCTGGCTGTGTCCCCGTTAGGAAGATTCACTCTTTATGTGTCCTGGATACTGTTATTACTGAAAGTAAAAGAAAATCCCACATTTTTTGGAAATAGATGGGAAATCCTCACGCTAGTTCTGGTTACCCTGCTGCCTACCCCCATCTTCAGTTTTGGCGGGTTTTCCTCTAACTTCCTGTTGTGGCTATTAGACAGGAAGTGAAGGGGAGACCACAGCCTGCACCTCCATTGTTGTGTGAAGAAGGGCATTCCCAGAACCCCTTTAAGATTATGAAACCGTACTGGAGCATTATGTTCTCCTACTTGAGAGGTTACAATCAACTCTGAGAAATAAACGTTGTAAACACTCGACAACCCTTGACTCTAATGCTTAAAAAATCTCTCACATGGCACAATATTTGTGCATAATGCACTTTGCGTAAGTCTAAGATTGCAGTTAATGGACAGAAAAGTATCAAAGCAATCAGCTGGGTGCTAATCTGTGGCAACGCATGCCTTGCAAATAAAACAGTACATTCACAGAAGTCACACAGTCCAAAGTACAGTATCTGCAAAAACATGCAAGTCCGGAAAAGGCACCCACAGTGAAGATTAGCTGCTCATGAAATTTACTTCAAACAGTCTTTATTATAGTGCAGTTTCATTAACCAAACAAGTAACAAATTCCTCAGACCACACAATTGTATTCTAAAGCTACGGGATTAGGCCCCCCCACACTGTTCTGTACCTACACCCTGTGCTACATCCATAGAACACAGGCATGTAGTGTTCAAAAGCACCACACTCGGTTAGATCCTAGAATCTAGCTGCTTAAATCACTATGCTCTACTGACGAGTACTCCAGATCCTGATATTAGTGGACTTTGACCATGCTATACTGGCCCACATTATAACTATTTGCCTCTTCTATTAACAGGTTATGGCTGACTGTCATTAAAGTGACACTAGACTCAGGAGTTAAATCTTAAAAATACATTCAAGTACCTTAAAAGAGAACTATGGGGTAAGTGTTTTTCCACATAGTTCTCTTAAGGATCACGGGAGGACATATACTAGCGTCCTCCCATCACCCAAAGCTCAGTATATCGCGAGCTACAGCTCACGATATACTGAAACCGCTGCAGCCGGGATGGACGAGATCCACCCAGCTGCGTGAATGACAGCGGGCTCTGCCTATCTAGAGGCAGAGCCAGCTGTACCCGCCTCCTCCCCCGTCCATTCCTCGAGTCAGCGCTGGAGGATCGGACAGGGGGAGGGGGATCCCTGCGGGGAGCTGTGAGTGACAGTCACAGCTCTCTGCAGGGTTATGATTGAGAAGTTAGTGAGCGACGGTATGTGTTCGCTCACTTCCCGATCTGTTGAGCCGACGTGTCACAGTTTCATTGTCACACGTCAGCTCAAACTATGAGGATGAATGATTTTCACTCACCTCATAATTCACCTTTAACTATTAACAAAAATGTATCTAATTTGTGTATCACTTGGCTGTAGATCCTCAAATCATCTCTGAATTGGTGCTGACACTGTCCTTCCTTCTGGAGGGTGGCTACTTTTGTTCCCCATGGGCCCTGTGTGTGTTGTAAAGTAGTCACCTCTGCAAGCTCCCTCCCGTGATGGACTACAATCTCAATACAAATTAGTAAACTAAACATGAGGTTGTAGTCTGTCACGAGTGAGCTTGAGCAGTGGCTACTTTACAACACACACAGGGACCAAAAGTAGCCACCCTATAGAAGGAAGGACAGTGTCAGCATGAATACAAAGATGATTTGAGGATCTACAGCCAAGTGATACCTGAATGTATTTTTAAGATTAGACTTCTAAGTTTAGTGTCACTTTAATATGCAAAGGATATAGACAGCTAACCACCAAAAAAAACACCAAATGACAGAAAAATCATTAAAAAATACAGTCATAGAAATTGTTGATGCTTTCAACACATATGAACAGGTAAATAGAACTCCATTTACACAGTGCCTAAAGATAGACATCTATTGACATTTTTGTTAAATTATTGAAAATGCCATTTTTACTTGTGTGTTTGTTCAAGTATATCACCTTTTACCTGTAGGTTTGGATGAAGAGCTCATGTTTGAAATATCTTCAATAAAAGGCAATAATTTCCATGGGGTGACTTGTACATATTTATTTATAATCCTTTTTATGACACCATTTAGACCAGCCTTTGCAGCCAAGAGCTACAGTGTAATGTCCCAATGACTGTAATACACATTAAGGTGTTCACATGTACGTTTTTTGATTGTGGGATGAAAGCAATATCCTAAAAGAAACCCAAGCAAACAAACTCTGTACAGATATTTTAAGACACTCAGCCATGTGCATAACAATAGTTTATATTTAAAGGTCCAACTCCAGGAACAAATCGAACAATTAAGATTAGACTCCATCCCAGCTGATAAAGAATATAATGTTTGTTTTTCTAGGGGATGATCTAAGGCAGAGCACCAGTCTTCCTCTCTGCAGGCTCCGGTTTTGAAAACTGTTCCCTCGACTAGCTTGTCACCCACTGGTTTTGTTGCCACCCCTCCTGCTGACTTCATCATGTACAATGTCGAACCAATGTAGTATGTGAAATAAGAGGGTCCGGCTTCCAAACAACTTTAGAGTAGCCTCTGTTTTAGATCATTCCCTAGACAAAACCTGCATAATTGTTATCAGCTGGGAAGATGTAGCTGGGCAATTGTATGATTTCTGCCCTGAGTTTCACGTTAAACCAGAAAGCAAAATGGAATTTAAAAAAAATGACTGAGCTCCTATCATTAACTTTTACATGGAAAAAGAAGGGATAAATTCCCATTTGTTCTGCTTCTGTCAAATCCCACAGATGATCTTGTGGCTTCAAAGATAGGCATCTGCCATACCTTTCCTTCCCCTTTCTATGAGTTATTACTGACTCCACATCCTCCACAACGCAGCACCTCTGTATATCTCCTCATTCAACTCAAAAGGTTATGCCCATCATCAACCTGACCCCCACTGACAAACTTCTTTCATCCTACCTGAAACTCCTGTGTAGTTTGCAACGTATGAAACGCCCATTCACAGACACCTTTAGAACGTTTTTTTTTTTTTTTTTAAAAATAACATGACCTTAATTTAGCCACACCTGAAATTCCATGATGTCTACCTTTAATACAAAGTTATTACCAACATAAATGATGTTACAAAATCTAGTTTCATTTTAGCCTCCATCCCTCCTCCTCTCAGACTAATAAAGTTTTAAGACAGGGCACCGAAGGTCCTATGCCATAATGCAGTGCTACGTTCAATGGGGACGTAAAATATCGCTCGACAAACAATCAAAAATAATCTTTGAATTTATCCAACGCAAGGAATTGTGTATAGCTATTTTACTGCCTTACTTATTTCTATATATGTTATATATACACACATCAAAAGGTGATGACTCGGTGTGAATCAATGATAATTTAAATAATGTAAAATAAACTATATATGTCATACACACAGAAATTCCTACATTTAAATATAAAACAAAATACTGCTCTTACACTGAAGTATCCTGGATTCCACGGTCTTTAATTTGGACATGGATGTAGGGCACCAAGATGGTATCCACCCAGTTAACCAATGAGACCTGTGTCATGAATAAATAAAATAATTTACAATTAATACATAAGGACAATGTTTAGCATTACACAAAAGCAACCACCATTATAAGAGAAATTTTAGACAAGTATGCAGGGCCTCAGAATGGACACAGTAGAACAATCGTCTCTCCACAAGCTTTCTTAGCTTTTCTTTCTTAGGCCTTAAACAGAAAGTGACTGACATCAAGTGCAGAGTCAGTTATAAAGATATTGTATGCCAGAAAATCTATACAATATACTATTCAACACATGCTGGAAATGATAACTGCGGCAGCATCCAATTCCTGTAATGCTATAAAGACCAGCAGCTCATGTAAACATCTATTAGATCCAGCTATATACTATGCCTACACTTACATATGGACATGACAGAGATGGAGAGGCCACGGTAGTGGAAATAAGCAGCAGCCACACTATTATGGCTAGGGATGCACCGATATTTCGGCCGCCGAAATGTATCGACCGAAAATGGCACTTTTATGAAAATGCTGAAGATGACATTTGTTTGTCCGAAATAGTGGTGCATTCTTAGTTTCTCTCCTCCTCGCTGGGCGCTGCTTTGTGTCCCAGCAGGGAGGAGAGAAACTGTCACAGGAGGCCGAGCAGCGCTCAGCATCCTGTGACAGATCGGGAGAGAAGCGGTGACTGCTGTTACAGGTGGCTGGCCAGCGGTACGGAGGAGGAGTCAGCTGTCAGATTGAGATCTCCTCCCCCTACCGGTCGCTCAGCCTCCTGTGACAGCGTGTCAGGATGGAGAGCGGGGACAAGCAGTCAGTGATCGCTGAGTGTTTGTAAATAATTGAGGACATGGTATGTGTACTATATCCCCAATTATGAATGAATGGGAAGTGATCTACATCACCTTCTGTTTATTCATGATTGTGGATATGGTAAATCTACTATCTCCACAAGTTATGAATGAACAGGAACACTCAGTATAGAGGATTTCTGTTCATTTATAATAGGGGACACAGAAAAAGAGATTGAGGACTCAGAGACTCAATCTCTTTTTCTATTTTAAAATGGAAATATCAGGGGTCTGTTTAGACCGCCAATATTTCCCCAGGACACCCAACAGTAAAGTAAAAAATAAAAATATTTAATACAAATAAATAAATTGAATATTTGAAAAAAAAATTGAAAACGTTAGAAACAATTTTTTCGGTTTCGGTCTGACAATTTTTTTTTGGTGTACCTCTGATTACGGCTATGACATTTTAAACAGAAGGCCTTTTGTCTGAAGAAACGAGCAACACATTAAAATGTATAATGCTAAAGAACATTTCTTTTTGACATTAAACTCAGGAGTTAAATCTTAAGGCTAGGTTCAGATCTAAACGAACCCGAGACGCGCGTCCCGGGACCGCAGGATTGTGTTCAGGTGTACACAGCAGTTGCCACACGGCCCCATTAATTTCAATGGGGTTACATCCGCATGGTAATCACTGAAAAAAGGTACATGTAACTTGTTTTGCAACACACCGCTTTCTTTAGCTGCAATCGTGTTCAATTGCACGGGCGAAATCGAGGTGGGAAACTGTGCAATCCACCTGGTGCGACTAGGGTGCCATTAGAAAATAATGGCACCGCCAACGTGATCGGCTGTGGTGGGCGACTCCGTGACAGCTCGGCAATCTGCACGGTTTCGCACACAATTGCCACGCGGTCACAGATTGCATTTTTTGGCTAGGTTCACACCTGCGCATTCAGGTACCTTATTTGTGTATCACTCACTCAAATCATCACTGAATTGGTGCCGCCACTGTCCTTCCTTCTGGAGGGTGGCTACTTTTGTTCCCCATGGTCCCTGTGTGTGATGGACTACAATCTCATGTTTCGTAGTAGTTTAATTTCTATTGCGATTGTAGTCTATCACAGGAGTGAGCTTGGAGCGGTGACTACACAGGGGCCATGGGGAACAAAAGTAGCCACCCTCCAGAAGGAAGGACAGTGTCAGCACCAATTCAGAGATGATTTGAGGACCTACAGCCGAGTGATACACAAATAAGATACATTTTTGTTACTAGTTAGGTATCCTAACTATTAAATGCATTTTTAAGATATACCTTCTGACTTTAGTGTCACATTAAACTATGGCATTGGGATCACCCAGGCTAACAAACTGTTTCATCAAAAGTCCATCACGTCCATTCATCAAGCCCATCATATTCATCAAGTTTATAACACTGAACAACAAAGTCATGGTCTTATTGGCCAAGCAATAAGGTGTAGTGGTGCTGATGAGCAAGCCACGGTAAAACATAGCAATCAACCGGATTTCCATTTACTGATGTCAGATCAGTGGAAGATGGATTCTTTTTAGCTGGTATGGTTCGTTGTACTTTGTGCACTAGTCGGTACCCCTCTGTTTGACAAAAGTAAATTTTTCAAATGTTTTGAAGAGGCTGGTCTGAAAATTTTCAACCAATCAGCTGCAGTCTCGCTGGTATTCTGACAGCAGCACACCCGCTGAATGCAATAGTCTGGAGGATGGGACTGCCAATTAGCATGGATGGGGAAATTGAGCATTTTTTTTCTCGTTCAGTCACTGATCTATAACGAGATAAGGATGAATTACTTTTTTTCTGATTTACCTACTTCTTCCACCACTCAGAAAGCATTGAAGTCAGGGTTTAAGTGCAACAGCCAGATGACTAGCATTCTCACAAGTAGGTCAGCAATGGCAGCTGTTGCATTTCTCATTACAGGGTTACTGTAACTAAAGACTATTTCCACCTGCCCAATTTAATGCTGGTTACACACAAACATGCAGAAGAGTGAGAATGAATACCTTAGGTGTTCTGACTCTAGTCAAATACACCTAAAAAAGGAACAGAGAGGAAAATGAAAGACAATAAAAAAGCAACGCCTGCAGATTTACCAACCAACCATGCATCTCTGCCCACCCCCTCTACTACATCATAATGACTGACAAATGTGTTATGGGGACAATTTCTTTCTGCTTCTGCTCTGCCATGAAATGCGGGGGGGGGGCAAGTGGAAAAGTTGCAACCTTTGCACACATACCTAGTTATTTAGAGACACAAGTGCCTAACATAAATGTCTAAACTAATATCAGGATTAGGGTAGAGGACCGTTGAAAAAAGCAAAAAACAAATAGGGTTCAGTGGGGCTGCTTTACAAATCCTACTACAGGTGCACAGTAATACAAAATAAATAAAAATATAGGAAGTTACTACAAATGACAGATCATAGAGGTATTTGCATTTGTCCTACAAATGTTTAGTAATTACTAAGCACTTCCCAATTGAGCAGAATGTGCACGGCCATGACATGCTAAATCATTATTGTGTTCAATGCACGGTGTTGTCTCATGTCAAATGAGCGTCTTCATATAGATGTCCTCAAATCCTCACTTCCTGGTAAGGGTTTTGGTATATATTAATATATTTTATTATTATATACTAAAAGACAGTAAAGCACAATCCCAGCACCACACCCTAGTGACTAGGGCTGATCATTCTTTTTGTACAATATTCCTTGGATCTACCAACAATTAAGTTGTGCAAGCCTCATCTGATCAAAACTGAATAGATTGTTTAAGTAGGTCCTCATATTACAGAATTTTGGTAAATCTGAAAGGAGATTGTATACAGATTGTAGAATCCGATTGTATAGTATCTTAGGCCAGCTTTAGGGGTATCAACTATTGATTTTTTTTACTTCACCTACAGAAATTCACTATATAATGCCCCATTTGTGGTGTCAGTGAAGGGAATAGTGCTGCAGCAATGGTGTGAGAGGGAAGAATTGTGCCTTGCCCTACAACAACACATGTGTGAACAGACATGCTGAGAATAATGGGATTCTTCATCTTGTGTGTTGTTGCATTTCAGGATTCATGGGACAAAACTCTCAGGTGTAAACTGGGCCTACGTCTGGGTTTGCACCACATTGCTTGTGTTACCGTTCTTGTGGTGTTACCGTTCTTGTGGTGCTTTGTGAATGTGTTGGATGCTTGTATCATTTTATTGCAGCTCCACACAAGGCAGGGGACAGGTGTGAACTACATCTGTTTGCCTTGTCTTTGCATTGGCCCCCTCTGCCCGGTGCAGCACAGCGGCTGTGGTGTCACCAGCCTGAAGACGGAGAATTGGTATGACAGCCATTTTTTACCATGATTGCAATGGCATCATCAATTCCAGGTCCTATATTACATACACTGAGTGGCCAGATTATTATGACCACCCCATCAGTACTTCGTAAGGGCTCACGGTGTCTGTCCGACATGCACGCTCCTGGCTGTCTGGTTGCATCTATTCAGCTTCTGTGCCGCTCTCCACCTCTCCCCTCCGCTAGACTGTGCATGCATCTGCCACACTTCACCTGCCTTCACAACGTTCGGGAGCCAGGAGCGAGCGGCACTGACACAGGTAAGTTTGTTGGTATTTGCCAACTTTTTTTTTTTTTTTAAATGTTGGGGCTTACTAGCAGTAGATATATGCCAAAAAGAAAAAACCCCCCCCCCCCCCCCCAAAAAAAAGACTTTAATGCTACTTTGAGACAAGCAGGATTAACATATTGCTGATCACAAGACAAAGATATTTAAATGTTAGTCTTATCCCCTTCTAGAACCACCTGTAGCTGACTATGGTAACAGAAGCAGAAATACAAGCATCTGATTGTACAGGATTCTAGTCATAGGAGAACATACTCCCCTGATTGTTGTACCTGACACTTCTCTATATGCGTTGACAGTTCACTTTTCACTGACTTTGTTCACCATCAAAGCAGAACCGATTCACACAATGACAACAGCAACTCTTCAACGAGGATTCCAGTCCGGGTAAGCTACCAAAGAGTGCTAATAACGTTTCCGCTGTGTGATTTGAGCTGCTTGTTTTGATCGATCTTGTTGTGTAACAAAGGCCTAACTCACCCACCCTGCCCGTGACTGATCGCAGCCAGCCGCCGTGTCTAGTTATGAGAGAAGGATGCATTGTGTGTACTTACTGTTCTTCCAGCTCCTCGCCCATGACAGGATCCGTCTCTTGTACTCCTGGCATTACACAACGAGGTAAGCGGACGATCACCTGGAAATAAGGGCAAATGTAACAGCAGTGGGCGGGGAAAGAGCGTTCAGCTGACAGGAGGGCGGGGTCTGAGCAAGTCAGTATAATAAGGAGGGGCGGAGATAGGGCGGTACAACCACGCGAGAGGGTGTGTCTATGTAGGCAGGGAACGTCCACCTGTAGGTCAGCGCTCGTTGTGTATTATGATCATGAATGGAAAGGGGGCTGGCTGGGAATGGCGTGAAGTGGATGTGGGAGGGGATGAAAGTTACTCAAGTTTCTGAAGGAGGAGACCTCCCCATTACTCCTTCTTACATCATGACATAGTGCTGTATCATCGTGAGGCCAGGGAAAGATACTGTCACTGCTTCACTCTGATGGATCCGGTCTTCTCCATTCCATGTTCACCCAACCCTGTTCACACAGGGTTGGGTGAGCATTTTGACGTCTGATATAATGCAACATGAAGAATTCTATTATTTTCAATGGTGGCCATTCACATCTTAAGCAATTTTTTTATTCACCCTTGCAGTGGGGTTACCTGAGATTTGATAAATCCCCCTCTTTCAGTGATTCAAATCTCTGCTAAACTTTAAAAAAATCATTATTTCTAAGAACAGTGGTAAATAAACATAAGGATAAGGATCTCTAATTTTAGCCATTGGAGTTTATATGTCCAAAATCAGGTTCTACCCTTTTCCGTAGGCAGGGCCGGCCTTAGGCCTTTAGGCGCCCTGTGCGAGAAAGCTTTACAGCGCCCCTCAGTGACCACACCCCTCAGTGGCCACACCCTCAGTAACCACACCCATTTATTACCCATATTTTTGGTAAAATATAAAAAGCGCGGTCACGTCGGGTAAATAGACACCAAACATGATAGGATCTGTACAGCTGGCCATGCGCAATGATGAAAAAAATTGAAGTAGCAGGATGGAACATTTCTCTTAAATGAACAAAATTGTTATTGCGAATGTGGTTTTCAATAAAGAAATCCCAATCATTTCCAAAATCGAATGTCAAATGCAAGCAAAATGTTGAACAACATTTGTCAAGTCTCTCATGGCATTATCCAATGTTCTCATGAGATTTTTCTTATGAAAGTTCATACGAAAATATACCGGTGTATGCTCGGCTTAAACATGGAAGCGGACCAATCAAGTTTATTAACAGAATCAGGCCCTCGGAACTGGACATCTCCCTTCGCTGGCGATTATACCACAATCATATATGTGTCGTCTATTCGATTGTTCCTCAAAAACAATCAACATTTACCTTTGCTCACAAAAGGAGATTGTTTTTATATATTTAGGATTCCTTTAACAATAACCCTAATGAGTAGGGATGTCCCAATACTGATACTAGCATCAGTATCCGGACCGATACAGTGCATTTTCACAAGTACTTGTGAAAATGCCCCAATACATAGCGCCGATACTTGCACTATGTTTTTTTTTTCTTTACCTTCCGTACCGTGCGTGTTGGGGTCCTCTAGGCAGTCGCCGGCCACCTACATTAGGACCCCACCTGGAGCGCCTTCCACCGGAGTAGCAGTTACGCGACGCTGCTCTCCGCCTACCGCAGACTCACGTGTGAGGAAAATCGTGAGGCACCTCGATTGGACAGCCACCAGTAAGTGAGACGGGAGTACACACACCCAATACACGGCATCAATAGATTTATAATTATCATTAGGGATGTCCCAATGCCGATACTAGCATCGGTATTGGGACCGATACAGGTCATTTTGACACGTACTTGTGCTTGTCAAAATGCCCTGATACATAGTGCCAAAGCTTGCGCTATGATTTTTTTTTCTTTACTTGCCGTGCCGAGCATCGCATCACTGCTGCTCCGGTGGGCGGCACTCCAGGTGGGGTCCTAATTTAGGTGGCCGGCGACTGCCCAGAGGACTCCACCTGGAGCGCCGCCAAACAGGAGCAGCAGTGACGCGACTTCCTCACGTGTAAGGAAAATCGTTCAGCACATTGTGAAGCATCAGCGATCGAGCAGGCACCAGTAAGTGAGGGCCTGGGCTTAAGTGGGACGTTTTGTGTGAACAACAAGAATCGATTGCTGCAGTGTATTTGGAATATGTACTGTACATATAGAATACACTGCAGCACTAGATTTACAATTATCCCCTGCTAACATGAATGGGTTAAATGATCCATAGTACATAATATGTACAGAACCCAAAACCTAGACTACATGTAAAATGAATGAATTACTATATGTCCGAATATACGATAAAACCCATTATGCGGCGGGAGCGGACAGGACGGCGGGTTTTTTTTATTTTTATTTATTATTATTACTCTTTATTTTTTATTGCTTTATTTTTATTTTGTCGTCGTCGTAGACAACGATGGACGCCATGATTGACCCTGGATCATGTCGGTTGATCCATTTTTTTGACCCTCCCAGTGCCGAGGGCATGTGGCATGGTGTGGGAGGGGGGGAGGGGCGCTCGCCCCCCCCCCCTTTCCGGCCCTGCCAGGCCTATGCTCGGATCAAGGGTCTGGTATGGAATTTTAGGGGGGTCCCCATGTTTTTTACCCCCCATATTTGGGGGTGGGGTTCCTCCTTAAAATTTCTACCAGGCCTGGTATGACTTTAAGGGGGAACCCCACACACTTCTTGTCAAAATGTCCTGATACATAGTGCCGTACATGGGGTTCCTCCTTAATATTGCTACCAGATCTTAAGGCCTGGTATGACTTTTAGGGGGAACCCCACACACTTTTTGTTGTTGTTTTTGTTTCATGGGGTCCCTCCTAAATACTCCTACCAGATCTGTATGACTCTTAGGAGGAACCCAACACAGTTTTTTTTTTTTTTTAAATTGGTCCCACCTAACATTTCTACCAGACCTAAATGGTCTGATATTGTTTGGGAGGGGGAACTGTTGTCATACAATCGATCGGACGGCTCTAGGGCAGCCCGAGCGCTTGTATGTAACAGCCGGTACAGGCTGCTTACATGCACAGTGGGTTCCTGCTCGCGCACGGTAGGGGGCATGCGCGAGCAGAAAAAGAAAGACGTGCAGATACATCCACCAACCTGGGAAGAGGTTGCCGTCCGCCCGTTTATTAACAATGGGCAGACGGCAAGTGGTTAATCATATCCTACAGATGGGATCTACCTTGCTTGACATCAACAGAATTGGGCGCCTGGAATCTGGTTACCTCAGCAGATACTGTTTTCATAAATCTTATTACAAATAAAAATAATAAATATTAATTTAAACCCAAATGCTAAAGTTGTGTCAATGGCTCCATAGTTTCCTTATAAATGTAGTTGGGTAAGTTTTTTTTATTTTGGTGTAAATGTTTAATAAATACAAGTTGATCCTGCCAGTTTCTTCTCTCTCTGAGGCCTTCTTTAACTGCTTGAAGACCAGGTGTTTAGATCCCCTACCTGGCCAGGCCATTTTTCAGTGTTCAGCGCTGCAGTACTTTGACTGACATTTATTCTGTCATGCAACGCTGTACTGAAATTAATTTTATACCATTTTTTGGGGACAGATGGAGCTTTCTTTTGGTGGTATTTAATCACCACTGCGGGTTTTATTTTTTACTATATTCAGGAGAAATTACTGAAAATTTTGAGAAAAAAAAGTTTTTTTTTACATTATGCTATAAAACAACTAATATTACCCACTTTTTTGGTAAAATATAAAAGACGGGGTATCCGCCGGCTCTATAGCCGGCGGATCGCTTGTATATTAACGGGCATCTCTGCCTCTTTTCAAATAGCGGGGATTTCCCGCTCACGCGCGCCGGGAAACTAACTGGGACTTTCTGTAACTGTACCGTTTGCTGGACAGCTCAGTCTGCCACAGGAAGTGAAAAAACAACTGATCTACTGGCAGAATCAACAGAAAATAAAGCTATGTTACACAGAGAACTCAAAAAAAGAAACATTGTTGTACTAATACTATTGACAAGATGTATCATATCTGCAATTTCTTATTTTCCCCATAGTTCACTATAATAAAATCAAAACAATATATTTATATCCATTCTGTTTCCCAACTTAGGAAGTAGAACTTAAAGGAGAACTATGAGGTGAGTGTTTTTCACTCACCTCATGGTTCTAGCCGACCTGTGACAATGAGACTGTCACAGGTCGGCTCAGTAGATCGGGAAGTGAGCGAACACATACCGGCGTTCGCTCACCTCTCAATCCTGTCACGGCTCTCCCCCGTGACAGGGGAGGGGCTGGATTCCCCCCTCCCCGCTCCGATAGCGCTGACTGGCGAAACGGACGGGGGAGGGGGCGGGTACAGCTGGCTCTGCCTCTAGATAGGCAGAGCCAGCTGGCAGTCACGCAGCTGGGCGGATCCCGGCACAATTGTCGGGATCCGCTTCAGCTGCGGCGTCTCAGTATACCGCGAGCTACAGCTCGCTGTATACTGAGCCTAGGGTGACGGGAGGACGCTAGTTTGTGTCCTCCCGTTACCCTAAGGAGAACTATGGGGAGAATCCTTAACCCCATAGTTCTCCTTTAAAGCTAAACATCCAGAATAAACACTGTCTAAGTACAAGAGGTGTGTGTATTTTTGATTGCATCTTGGGGTGCTTTGTGGATTTCATCCAGTTCAAAAAAAATGGCATGTGTTGTTGTTCATCTGAGGTTGTATTTACCTAATTTTTTAGATCTGCTAAGGACCAGATGATTTTTTTTATTATGTTCAGGTACTTAATACCATAGAATTTAAAGAGGGTGCACTTTCTTTTTCACATGACTGTACGCAAAGCCTTGACTTCATTCCAAGCTGGCACTAAGCCTGGCCCTCTGCCATTCAACATTTCGAAGACTAATGATGCTATGGCACTGGCCTGTTTTTCAAGCCATCTTGCACCTAACAACCATCTCCCCTTTGTAGTAACTAGCTTTTCATTGGCTAAAACAAAACCTTCTGAAAATGCGCAAAATAAAAATGCGTCCAAATCACCTGAAAACACTTAAGCTCAAGTGTGGTCCACTTTTCTTTACATATATTTACTCCTTTGGTCCTTTTCATGCTATTTGAGTGCATGCTGCAACTCTCTTCTGGTTTCTGTCCCAGTCTCAAACAATCATGTTCATAGTGGAGCAGAAAGATAACTTTTTTCAGGTTGTTGAAAAATTAAAGGAGAAAGGGGGATGCATCAAAACTGGAGCAGACAGAATCTGGAGTAGTAACCAATCAGCTTTCTCTTCATTGTGTTCAATTACGCTTGAAAATGAAAGCTAGAAGCTGATTCGTTGCCATGGACAGCTGCTCCAGATTCTGTTTGCTCCACTCTTCATAAGTTCTTGTATCGTGTTGCAGCATTCCTATGAATATAAATATAAAGATAGCATGGATGCTAAATTGTAGACATGCGCACCAGCAAAAAATGTGTTTAGTTTTGTTTTGATTCGGATTTTGCATTATTTAGTTTTTCGGGATCCGGGTCCGAAAATCAATTCGTTTTGGAATTCGGACGAAATTCGTTAGCGGTAGTCTGTACGAACGTTCGTTTAGTTTTCGTTTCATTTGTCCGATCGTTTGTTCGTTGCAGCAAAGTGACATTTGAGGGGAAAATTGTTTCCGTCCAACAAACGAAATTTCGTCCAGACTACCACTAACGAATTTTCGTAAACGGAAATTCGGATTCGTTTGCATTCGTTATAGCTGTAATTCGAAGTCCGGATACATCCGAATGTCCGAAATTTCGTCCGAATTTCTTTTCGGAACGAAACGAATCGCACATGTCTACTAAATTGTGTTTGGGAGTTCCTCCCAGCAATGCCAGGACAAGGCCCTATGATACCTAGGGAGAAAATACCAAGGGACATAAGAGAAATCGTGTCCTTCACAAAAGTTAAAGTGTATCTAAAGCAGCGTTTCTCAACTGTTTTTTAATCACAGTACCCTTTAAAAGTATGAATTTCTCGAGGCACCCAAGTCTAAAATGTAAAAACCGTAAATGTAAAAAACGACATGTGGTCCAGTCAAAATCCATACTAGAGCCTTATATGAGATATGGGTCTGGTATGGGTTTTAAGAAGGGGACACCCCCAAGCAAAAACACGCAAAAAAAGTTGGATTCCTTTACATCAGAGTCCCCTTAACATTACAGCCCCTTCACATCAGAGTCCCCTTAACATTACAGCCCCTTCACATGAGTGTCCCCTTAACATTACAGCCCCCCTTCACATCAGAATTCCCCTCTTTCACATCAGGAGCCTTCTTCACATCAGAGGCATGACATTTTATGAAAATTTTGAGGCGTCCCTGAGAAAGTCAGAATGCACACGTCACGGCTCCTTGGTTGAGAAAGGCTGATCTAAACCCAAGGACAAAAACTGTAATATATCGTAGATTACCAGTCCTTAGATGAAGTGGTTGCATTATTTACAAGCTTTTTTCCTTTATTTTCAGCTGGTGATTCTGCCATTAAAGGAGAACTATGGGGTTAAGGCTTTTCCCCATAGTTCTCCTTAGGTTAACGGGAGGACACAAACTAGCGTCCTCACGTCACCCTAGGCTCAGTATACCGTGAGCTGTAGCTCGCGGTATACTGATACAACGCGTATACCACAAGCCACTGCTCGCGGTATACTGAGATGCCGCAGCTGAAGCGGATCACGACAATTGTGCCGGGATCCGCCCCTCTGCGTGACTGAAAGCTGGCTCTGCCTATCTAGAGGCAGAGCCAGCTGTACCCTCATGAGTGACAACACTCACTCACTCTACTGTATCTATGGAGGGAGCCATGATTGTCACACTAGGACAGGACTACAGACACCTCCTCTAGACTACAATATAGATGGGGGGTTCAGTAATCCTCAGCGATAACCAGGAACAATGTAACTGAATGAAGCGCACACATGACACACAGGAATTTATCAGCTGAAAAGATTTCTGCCAGGATCAACAGGTTTTGTTTGCACTTATGAAGCTGATATAACAAAACACTTTCACTTGTATCAACAGACCAAAAAGGAGAAAATAGGCAATGTCCGTTGTCAGGGTTTAAACTTTAAGACCTTTAACCTACCACAAAGTATGCATATCGCAAACATGTTAGAAACCAAGGCATAGCTAAATTATGATTTTTCTACTAGATGCTGCACCTGATATTTCTGATCAGATTATCTGCAGCATAGTGCAATAAGTGAAAAGTTTCCTCCTGTACACAATCATATTGAAAAAAAGTATCTTGCTTGTACTGTACAATGTCTATCCATTTGAACATTGTGTCTGCTTGCTCCTGCTTCTACACTAAGGGGTCTACTTATAAATAATTTGCAGAGCCATTCGCCCTCCACATCTCTGCGAACATTTGATCTGTGCAAAAAAAGGCAAAAACAAGTGTTCTTAGTATATTTTCTTGTCAGGTCAAATGTAGTGTAATACTGCACTAGGACTTGCAGTATTTTTCTTGAAGACGTTAGTCCAGTTACCTTGACTTATTTTTTACAGATATACCATGACCCGGATGTATGAGAACCTTCACACACATATACTAAGAATGTTGTTTTTTTCCTGTATTTGCAAACAATTAATGTCCATAGAGATTTGAGAGGCTAATGGTTCTGCAAATTCTTTATAAATAAACCCCTAAACGTTTTGTAACACAAGATAGCGCTATTCTTACTATTAATTTACCAAAATTCAGAATTGAGTAGGATTGTGCTATTTAACCCCTTCGTGACTGACAACGTACAGTGTACGTCGCCAGCATCGGGGCTGTTTAAACAATGATAATAAACTCTCACAGTTTGTTTTTAAATAAAATCAATACAGCTATATAACCTATGTGTGTTTCTTCTCTTTGTGCAGCCGTTTCTTTAAAATCTTCTGTCTTCTTAGTGCTGGCTGGGACTTCCGTTCTGAGGGTGACTCCATTCTCTTGCTGTGTCTGATGGAGTCTCCCTCCCTGCATTAAGAGGCATGACAGATGCACAGGCAGCCCAAAGTCTGCAGGAAAGCCTCCTCTTTCGATTGACAGCAGTGATGTGACTCACAGTGTAAGTCATCTTCTCTCGCTAGACTAGCTTTTTTTTTTTAACAAACTTTATTTATAAAGTAAATAGACTGTGGACCAATCACCAGTCTATCTTTTTTAATGTCACATTGAATTCTGGTTGGCTGGTTGTTTTACATAGTAAAATAGCATAGTCACCTATTACAAGCAGGATAGGTCATCTAAACAGTGTTTTAGGTTTTTATTTATTGATAGACTCTTTTGTAAACTATTTTGCAAGTTTTACTCTATGCAAACCTACCAATAGTGAGACATTTACATTTAGGGAGATCACAGTGAAACAGTGAAAAAAAACCTGCTACAAAAAAAACACATACACACACATACGTCAATAAAGGGGAAACAGTCACGTAGGCTCCGTAAGCCAATCAATCATAAGCTGTGACTGAAAGCATGACGGGAAGTGTAGTTCAGTCCGTCTGCCTACGGGTGACGAGTCCCAGTCTCTTCCGGCCGGGGAATGTGACGTACGGTGCTCTGTAAGGCCGCCACGTCTGTCAGGAGCGGTGTTTCCGGTTTTCAGCTTCCGGCATCTCTGTGCCCGGCTCCGGTCTCCTGCAGTCATGTCGGTGTCAGTTTTGTCCGTGGTGTCCCGCTTCTTGGAGGAGTATGTCAGCTCCACACCGCAGAGGCTTAAGCTGCTGGACGCCTATCTACTGTACATCCTGCTGACCGGAGCCATGCAGTTCCTGTACTGCCTGCTGGTGGGCACCTTCCCCTTCAACTCCTTCCTGTCCGGCTTCACCTCCTGCGTGGGCTCTTTCATCCTGGCCGGTGAGATGAATTTACCTGACATCTGTGTTTGCACGGACAGGCTTACAGCTCTGCAATGACACTCACTCCCTGTAGACTGAGCATATGCCTGACATATCTGACCAGGTCATTCTGACTTCTATATGAAAATACTGATTGCATGGCTTTTTATGCGGCCGGTGACGTGAGAATGCCTGATCGTGAATACTTTCCTGACTTCTGCTAATCCATGAAATCATGCATTGCACACACCTTTTTACATTCTACCACATTGCATTTATACACAGGGCAAACACCAGGCCTGGAGCAATCCCAGGAGCTAGGTCGCTGATGCTCCTAAAAGTTACAGCTGGCACCTGACTTTTTTTCCATTTTTTTTTCTCTGGTTGTTGTCAATGGAAACTCCTGGATTGGACAGACCGGCCCCTGAATTCCATATTTGCCCACCAGTGCTCTTGCAAAAGCCATATATTGAATAGGGATTGTCCTTCAAAGTAGGGCTGAAACAATCCATAATGAGAATCATTGCCAATGATTCTCATTATCGATTAGTTGAATCCCTCAATGCCACTCTGCTTCTCCGTTCTCCTCCCCGCTGGGGCTGGCTGCAGTGGTCTGTGTCCCTTTCAATCCCCGCCTGTATTGGCAGAGGTAGCTGAGACACAGACCACTGCAGTCGGCACCAGCGGGGAGGAGAGACTGTGGTGACTGCATTCCTCATCCTCTCTCCGCCCCGTTTTCCCTCTTCTGCCAGTGTTAGATCAAAGTTTGAGACTGCGTTAGAATGTGTGACCAGTGACGTGGTCACACATTTTAACATAAACCCGGCCACTTTTTCGGCGGTGGAATGTGTGACCGTGTTTTCACATATTTTAACGTAATCACGCCCATTTTTTCCAGGGTTAAAATATGTGACCGGCAAAAGGTGTAGCATTCCAAGCTTTCTCAGCTGTTCCAGGGTAGATCGGCATCGCAGATTGTATGTGCAGGATAACAGATCTGCCCTGTAACAGCTGATCGGTCCTGAAATGTCACTTCTATCCGACTTTGAAATGTCAGATCCCACTCACAAATTCGGATAGATGTGACATTTCAGGACCGATCAGCTGTTCCAGGGCAGATCGGTTCTCCTGCACATACCGTCTGCGATGACGATCTGCCCTGAAACAGTTGACAAAGCTTGGAATGCTTCACCTTTTGCCGGTCACGTATTTTAACCCAGGAAAAAATGGGCGTGATTACGTTAAAATGTGTGACCAGTCACACATTTCAACCCAGTCACAATCTTTGATAGAACACCAGTGTTCTACCAATCCCTCGCACTTGAGTCCGAGGGATTGATAGAACACCAGTGTCAAGTATCCCATCAGCAGCTGGAAACAATAGCCAGCCTGCTATTGGATATTTTAAATTGCAATTGAAGGGCACCCAATTTAAGGGCACCCACCTACTGCCTCCTGTCAATCAGCAGAGGAGGACCTGAAGGAGAAACTGCAGCTGAGCATGGGATACTTGGGGCAGGAATCCCAGCAATCTGTCTGTGTCCGGCGTAATCATCTGTCCCCAACCACAGTTCCATGTACTATTACATGTGGATACATGCAGCCACTGTCAGCCTGATCAGCGAGCGTAGAGGAAGAAGAGGCGGACAGGTAAGGAGTGCGACCAGCCCACCTGAGGCTGACCCTGCAGAGCCCACCATAGAGAGTCTATGGTGGGCTCTGCAGGGTCACTCTCAGGTGGGCTGTGTGGGTTCTCAAGTGGGCTCTGCAAGGGGTATAACTAGAAATCACGGGGCCCCATACAAAATTTTGCTATGGGGCCCTGTGATTTCTAGTTACGCCCCTGATAGCACCCCTACATGTGGGTAGTTTCTCTGCCCTGTATTGTGATCTTGTCACTGCTTATGTAGGCCTACATTCACACTTTGCTATTTCACTCACTATCATTCACACTTTTCTGTTTGATGTGTTGCATTAATGCATGTTATCTATTTCACATGTTAATATGTGTTGCATTAAGGCAGCCCATTCAAATACATGGGTTGCCAATGCAACGGAATGGATATGCAGCATATATTTTCCAATGCAGTAAACCACACCACAACATACATTACAATGAGTTGTAGTACTTGGCCACGCGCTCCACGTTACTTTAGTGTGGTAGGGTGTCTATACCATAACATTCTGCATCACATTGTGATTCCACTTCTACCGAAAGTGCAGAAAAATTAGTGCTGATGTAAAGAGTAGACTTGCATTACTTCTGTTTGAATCATGTGGCTAAAAGAACTAATTATCTGTAAAAAATAAGTCAAGGCAACTGGACTTGCTGTATTTTTCTTGAAGACGTTTCAGTGGTCATACGACCAGCTCTCTCAATTCAGAAAGACTTGTACAAAAATTATCTGGGAATAAATATGGTGAATGTTGCTCCAATCCACATAATCTGTTAGATGCAACCATGTGTTGAATGCATTTGCATAATTGGAGTCTAGGGGTTGTTATTAAGAGAGGTGTTAAAACAGCATTGTATGTGGCAGACAAAAGATGTCTCGCCCCCCCCCCCCCCCACCCCCCCCCTTC